TGTTGTGAGATATCTCGCCATTGGCTCGGCACGTCGGTCTGCGTCAAAGGCGAGGCCGAGCGCGAACAGGCGTGCAGGCCTACATGCAAACCTACCCCAATAATAGCTTGATATCGAATGTGCGGATCACACGGATTCCATGGTAAGGAGCGAAGCACCGTTACGCCTCTCAATGTCAACCTCAATGATTGACTACTTAATCATGGCCTAGCCCAGCTCTCATCTTACCAACTCCTTCACGCTCAACTTCCAACCCCTAGTGCTACCGTCTACTACCATGTCGCAGACTACAAGCTCAGTGGCATCTTTGCACGAGGAGAAGCCACGACTTCCCCAATCCGATGTCGAACAACCGCCAGCACCAGTCGATGAAAAGCAACCCGATACGACCGCACCTACAGCGGCTGTGAGCCCATTCCATCCCAGTCAATTCCCTGATGGTGGAAGAGACGCCTATCTTTGTCTCCTCGGAGGCTTCTGCTGTCTCTTCTGCTCATTCGGATGGCTAAACTGCGTCGGAGTGTTCCAAAGTTACTACCAGCGGAATCAACTCAGCGCGTACTCGCCGTCTACCGTTGCCTGGATCGCTTCGCTCGAGATCTTCGTCATGTTTGCGCCTGGACCTATCGTCGGTTTTCTTTACGATAACTACGGCCCCAAGTACATATTGCTGTTCGGTACTTTGTTCCACGTGCTTGGTCTCATGATGACCAGCCTATGCACCGAGTACTGGCAGTTCATCCTCGCCCAAGGAATATGCAGCCCCCTAGGTCTGAACTGTATCTTTCAGGCAGGAACGAGCACCATTCCTACATGGTTCTTGAAGAAGAGAGGCCTGGCATACGGAGTCATGGCAGCTGGCAGTGGACTAGGCGGCATCATCTTTCCCATCATGGCGACACACCTCATCCCCGAAATCGGCTATGGCTGGACAATGAGAACATTTGGCTTCCTCATCCTGGGCATGATGGCTATCGCTTTCCTCACCGTCAAATCTCGCCTACCACCACAACCCAGAACCTTTCAGTTCAAGGTATTTGTGGAGCCTTTTGGGGACATTCGCTTCGTCTTGCTGACGATTGCGTCATTTTTGTTCTTCATGGGACTGTGTAGGTTACCCCCCTGTACGAGCTGCCGATGAGACGCGCACTAATCCCAGAGTTAGTTATACCCATTAACTTCATCGAAGTTCAAGCGATGGCCGCTGGAATGTCGACTACCTTGGCTGGATATCTTCTGGCTATTCTCAACGCCGCTAGTATCTTCGGTCGCATCATTCCCGGTGCCCTCGCGGACAAGGTTGGCAAGTTCAATATGCAGTCACTCTGGTGCCTCGTAGCTGGCATTCTGGTCCTTGCCCTGGCTATCCCCGCATCAAGTAACGCGGCATTCATTACATTCGCCGGCCTCTACGGATTCGCTTCCGGTGCTTTCGTGTCACTGTTGCCTGCCCAGATCGCCTATATTTCCAAGGTCGAACAGATTGGGATCCGTGTTGGTGTTGTCTTCGCCTGCATCTCAATTGCGGGTTTGATCGGTAATCCAATTGCAGGAGCTATCGTCGTCCAAAACAATGGAAAGTACTGGGGGCTGAACGTCTTCTCTGGTGTCATGATGATGGCGGGAGCAAGCATGTATATACTGACGAGAATGTATATTGCAGGATGGAAGGTGCTTGCACTAGTTTAGTTTGCATGCGTAATCAGAATCAAGCTTTGCCCACACTACGGGATGACGGATGTGCTTCATTACGAATGCGTAGTTATCTTGAAGAATATTCTAAGTAGAAATCTAGACGATCTTGAATATCATTGCGTGCAAAGATTCAACAGCTTGTAAGCAGCAATGTACGATACAAGCTCTGTTGTGCCCTCGTGCCTTTTGAAACTCACTTCGTGTTCCACGTGTATGCGTGAGAAATCCTTAACTCCGAACTGAGTCCGTGGGTTGAGTGCACGGACCGTCGATTCATGATAACACCCAGCTTCCTACACTCTGTCACTACACATATCAACCATGTCGACGCGTCCAAGGTTCTGGGCAAACGTTAATCATCGGCCTACCCACACTGAAGCGTGGTCTGAGCGTCTAGTCTGAGGAAGCACGGGCTGTTCGTTGTACGAAGGTTTGTACGATTCGCACATGGCCTCGTACATCAGCTTTCATGACCTTCCGCCGTTGTACGCACTGCACGCTACTCACTTTGATCTGTATTCGCTTAAAAACACCCGTCGACCTTGAGACTCGTTCCTTCGTACCTAGGTAGTCGTACAAACAAGTGCCACCAAACAAGCAAAAGACGAAGCCAAGGGTGTTGTACGACTGCATAGGCCTATCACATACAGATTACTGAGCAGCCTATCATGCCCAAGCAGCGCCAAACCTGTACGCGGTGCTCTCAGAGACGGCAGAAATGCGATCGAAAGGCACCTTGCACAAGATGCGTGCAGAACAATGAAGGTCATCTTTGCACGACCAAATGGGTGAACGGATACAACCCAAATGTTCATCGCAAATATCCCCGGAAGCTTTCGGCAGCCGGTTCAAGCGACACATCTACATCTGGCCCGTCTCCCGATGCAAATGCTCAGGTCGCGCTACCCCCAATCCATCCACAAACGGCAGGGTCTCAATCGGGTCGGAACGAGCCGCATGAGGAAGCAGTCTGGCGAACCGGTTTACCCGACATGACGATTAGCGCTATATTGGAAGAGAAAGATGCAGACGCCAATCAAAGCCGTTTCGACAAAAGCTTCTCTTACGCCCGGTCGAAACAATCGCCACGAGATAGACCGAACGGGTCGACCTCTATTGCGAGCTGCTACTCGGCTGCAGCGAGGATAGTGGAGACACAGTACCTGCAGTCAATTCTGCCGCAGAGAGAAAAGTTAATGCTTATTGTGGAGTACTACGAACAGTACATGATGTACTGGCACGGCGGCATCTACCATGGGCCAAGCTTTCGAAAGAAGCTGCTTCAAGCGTATGGTCAGTCGTGTGAGCTTGCTCTTCAAGACCTTGACTGGACATGGGTAGCCCTCTTGTGTAAGTTTACCTCCATTTCGAATGATGCAGGCCTACCTCACTTGATATGCCATCAATGCGAAGGTTACGGTGACCAGACTCAATCTTCTCGGTCGATACTAAAGTTACTAATTCCAATCTTGTAGTCGCAATTCTTTCATCCAGTATCATTGGCTCTTCAGAAATAGCTTCGACGTCCTGGGGCTTCTCGGTTGACGACAAAGTCCAGCTGGCACGCGTATGGGGCGGAGCATCGATCTCATGCCTGAACCTTGGGAATTATACATCGCAATACAGTATTCACTCGGTACAGACAATTCATATCATGCACGCGTATGAACATCTAGCTGGTTCAAGTAATCAATGGATCGCTCTCCGTAGTGTGGGGGTAGTCATTGCGAAAGGGCTTGGTTTGCACAAGTAGGTGGCATAGATTCCTGAGATACGGACTCTCGTAACTGATCGAGCAGACTTGGGCCCCATCCAGACGACGATAGGATAACTGAACTGGACGCAAGACAGAAAGAAGCATTTATCGAGCGTGAAATTGGCCGCAGGGTCTGGTATGGGACTGTATGTCAGGAGTGGTACGTATACAGCGCGGTTCAGGCGATTCATGAACAATTCACTCATCTATTCTTTAGGCTGTGTTGTACTTCATCCGCCTCTTACACGTTGACACTCCAATGGCGGCATTTCACGAGCACAAGGCCACGCGAATTAGACGAAGAAACCATGACGCCCGTCGCCGACACAGAAATTCCAACAATCGTAGGTGTCGCCAAGTGGACCTTTGACTGCGCTGCGTTACTTCTCGACGTTCACAACGCTATGGTGGAACTCGAGGACAAAGACGACGCTATCAAATATGCCACAATCCTCAGATTTGATGGCGAAATGCGTACTTTGTGTACGGAGAAGCTGCCAAAATATCTTCTTCCTCGGGTACCGCACGATCCCAGTTGGCCACAATGGGTCGTTTGGGCGAAGCGGCTGCACCACGCATCGACGCATCATAAGATCATTATGAGTGAGTATTCACCATCATAGATTGTGCAAAGATCTATACTAATTCTGCCACGTATCATCAGTCCATCAAAACTTCTTGAGCAAGAGCTTCAAGGACGTCCGCTACACATACAGCCGGTGGGCTTGTATGAGCGCAGCGCAGAGTCTCATCAGCTTGTACACCACTCGAGATGCGCAAGAGCCGCAGTGGTGGGTTGAACAAGCTTTCATCATCACCGCAGGTATTTGCCTCATTCTGGAGCTCTTTCATCGTGCTGAAGCAGACGCGGAGGCACAAGAGTGCCATCTACATGTCACGCGAGCCATCAGGTGCTTGCAACTGTTTCACACGTCAAGTGTTGCAGTGCACGGCGTGCGTCTGCTCATGTCGCTTATGGCAGAGTATGAGAAGCTCAGAGATGGATCAAGCCAAAGGTCCACACTATCAGTGGACACAGCAACCACCCAAACCTGTCCCTATATTCCCGGCAATACGGCTGGTATCTCCATGCCGGACACTGACCGTGCGACTCAACAGCTGCCTCTAGATTCTGAGGTTCAACCAACATTCGCCGATCCGACCACGTGGAATTTCGATATCGACAGTCTGGGCTTCGAAGATCTGATGGACTATCTGCCCTCAGAAGGCTTGTTGAACAATAATGTCCTCAATGCCAGCATGTTGTCTGGGACTGGATGGCCGATGTGGTAGCTCTTTCCCCATTCATTAACAATCGATCTCACCGATCGCGCTGGTTCCTTCCGTCACGACAAGCAAGTGGTCTGACACCGAGGTGGCTCCTCCCTTGTCGTATCTTTTCAGAGCTCTGTTTAGTCTCCCCGAGTAGCCAACCTGACAACTGTATGCTCACGCATGATCGATTGCGTAGACACCACCTGATAAGGCAAGCTTATGACAGCTCATTACAAACACGCGCTAACAGGTGCAGTCACTCAGCGACGGCAGTATGTCTCAGGACCCTGAACTCGACAAGATGCTTGTGCTCGACGCACTGAGCAGCGGCCTCAACATATCCATGACAGAGCTCCTCAGCATCCTCGGTCGACAAGCCCCGATCTCAAACCTTCTTCTCGGACCCGTCATCAGACCACAGCAAATCCCCATGACGGCGGCATCTCATCCCGAACCGAGCACGCTTCTACAACAGAAGGCGCCGGCGGCGACGGGGGGACAGCACCTGTTGAAGGAGTTCCACATTGTATACTGGACCGCTTTGGGTCTCGTCACCCTCATCGCTATAGCGGCTATCTGGACGAAAGCTCACATGGCGGCGCAAAAGGGTCGGAAGTCGTTCGAGGCCAAGAAACCTATGTCGGACGTTGAGAAATGGCACATGCGGCGTCAGAAGGCCCGCGATGAGGCGTCCATGGCGCTGGGGCAGGTGGATGATCAAGCTCCGGGTACGTGAATGCGTGGCTAAAAACAGAAACGCGGAAATGGTTTCGCGATGCGGGAGGGCTCCACTGGGAGCTTCTGCGCTTCTTATTTTGTATTTGTATTTGTTCGTGGATGGCAACCTCGCATGGCAGATTTTAGCGTATCAAGCGAGGCAAGAGAATCGAGTGCATGTATAATACCGGATCACTGAATAATCCCCTCTAATCACAACTGCTCATTGTCTCACAATCTTCGTTTCTGTTGCTGCCGCTTCATCAGAGTCGCGCATCCAGTCAAACCTCGGCAACTCGTTGTACCCCACACCCGTAGACGCGTCGATCTCCCGGCATGCATATGGTGCATGTACTATTCTCGTTGTTTACTGCAATGCTTCAACTTGTAATGTGTAAGGATACGTCGCTAAATTGGAATTGACGTTCCATGTGTTAATCTGCAACGATGAAGGCCATCCACATCGACAGATTCGTCTCTGTAAGCCACCTATCTAAGTATCTACATCATCTTCCCTAACCATGACAATCTACAGAACGTGACAGACCTCAAACCTTCCACCATCCCAAATCCATTCTCAAAATCGTCGCAAGATATTCACATCAAAATCACCCACGCAGCCGTAACACACGTCGACCTCCTCTACGCCCAAGGCCTGCACCAAAACAACCGCAGACACGTCCAACCGCCCTTCATCCTAGGCACAGAATACGCCGGCATAATAACCCATAGCCCCCCTTCCTCTTCCTTCCCGCCCGGCACCCGCGTCTTCGGCGGCGGCCTAGGCGCCTACGCAGAGCAAATATGCGTCTCTGAACCCTCCATCCGCCGCGTACCCTCGCAATGGACGAACGCTGAAGCCTGCGCCGTTGGCACAAGCGGTTCGGTGAGTTACGGCGCTTTGATCTCAGTTGCGCAGCTCAAAGCCGGGGAAACTGCCCTCGTGCTCGGTGCGAGTGGCGGGTTGGGTGTCATGGCTGTGCAGATTGCGAAGGCGGTTGGGGCGAGGGTTATTGCTGTCGTAGGGGGTGAGGAGAAAGCTGAGGTTGTGAAGAGTGTTGGTGCGGATGAGGTTGTTGATTATAGACAGGAGGGGTGGGAAGCGAGGGTTAAGGCGTTGGGGAATGGTGGGGAGGGGGTGGATGTCGTGTATGATGGGATTGGGGCTGTGGAGAGTGGGATTAGGTGTTTGAGGTATCGGGGGAGGTTGGTCGTTGTTGGGTTTGCGGCAAGAGGAGGTAAGATGGAGAACCTGAAGGTCAACAAGATTTTGCTAAAGGGGGTTGCGGTGTTCGGTTATGTAAGTTTGCCTTCCGTGGTCGTCCTGCACTTTGGATTTACCTTCTCGTCTCGTGTGCTAACTCACGATAGCGGTTCGGGGAAGATGGGAGGAGAGATCCGCAGAGGACAAAGGATGTTTGGGACGGCTTTATGAAGTTGGTTGAGGATGGTAAGATTCGGCCTGTCATATACAAGGAGGATTATTGGGGGTTGGAGGCGGTTAGTAGAGCGCTCGAGGACGTGAGAGAGCGAAAAGCTTGGGGAAGGGCTGTGATAAGGATAAGTGAAGCAGAAGCGGATGAGACCGAGCAGAAGGCAAGGTTATGATATCGAGATATTGATGTTGCTACTCAAGATGTCGACTGCACGCGATCCTCTGTGGGCAGTAGGTCGCGATCTCCTATTTGATGGTACCTAGGTAGATCTCGTGATGGGCGTGTCAAGCATGCAGATTTGCAGCTTTCATCCAGGCCATCGTGACCATACTATATCTGTATCGCTTTAGGGGTGAAGTCCACGCGTTGGTGATGCTTCACCCTGGAGGCGTGGCGTCGAGGCCATCAAAAGCGCACGGACCCTCGCGGCGCGCCGGCTTAGCGCGGTTTCTTTGGACGGGCCTTGTTCGACGTTCCCATGTTTAAAACATAGCCCGTCAACTTCGACGCTCGCCGTCTGCTCTTACTTTTCTCCTTCTTCCTCTCCAATCGCGCGCTCACCTTTCAGAACCGATCAGCGGATAACGTCACCCTCACGTCCGCTTGATCACCGCGGTCACACCCCCGAGCTTCGCGACAGCTCTTAAGAAGGACACGCTCCTCTATCACCACACGCATCGATAATCATGGCGTCCTACGGCAGCGACCCCGAAGAGGAAGAAGAAGACTTCAACCCCGCGCCTGAAATCGACGAGGATGACGTCGCGCCAACAACCAAGGCCTCGCGCAGGCCCGTAGACGAGGACGAAGAGGACGAAGTCGATGCGCCAAACAGGACAGGCAACGACGACGAGGATGAAGAGGGGGGCGGCATAGATCTCGACGATGATGATGACGAGGAAGATGACGAAGAAGATGAGGACGACGAGGATGTTGTCGTGGGTCCCATCATTCATTCGCGCCGTCTAATTACTGACTGTCCTAGGCCCGACCTGCCAAGCGGAGAAAGAAGGCAAAGCGCAACATGTTCATTGATGTTGAAGCCGAAGTCGATGAGGATGAGGAAGAAGAAGAGGAGGGTGACGACGAGGGCGTTGATGAAGTCCACCCCGATGATCTCCTCGAGCCCACGGGCGCCGATCTCGACGACCGCCACCACCGCGAACTTGACATGCGCCGCGAAGTCAATGCACAAAAGGACGTTGAGGAGCTCGCCAAGGAGTTCGACGAGAAGTACAGGCGGCGTGAGATGCAGAGCACTCGCCGCGGTGGAGCCGGTGCCGTTCCCCTGGCCCTACCCACAGTCGACGATCCGTCTATCTGGGGTTGCAAGTGCCGTCCTGGAAAGGAGCGCGAGATCATAATGTCTATTCAGAAGCGTATCGACGAGAAGATGCGCACAGGTCAGCCGGTACAGGTCTACTCGGCCTTTGAGCGAGGTCCCACTGGACCCCAGTCTGGTTTCCTCTACGTTGAGGCCGACTCGAAGCAGGCTGTGGTGGAGTTGATCGAGGGCATACAGAACGTCTTCATGGGCTCTGGTCAGTTCTCGATTCCTCCAAAGGAGCGTCCAGATCTGCTGCGCAAGAAGAAGCGTGCGCCGTTGGAGGTTGGCAAATTCGTGCGCATGCTGCGTCCCCCCACATACAAGGGCGATCTCGCAAAGGTCGTTGAGGTCTCGACTAACGGTCTTGACTGTGTCGTACAACTTGTGCCACGTCTAGACTACGGCCTGAACGAGGATATCAACTCCGCCGCCGACAACAAGCGCAAGCGCGGCTTCTTCGGTCGACAGGTCGAGCGTCCACCTGCGAAGCTTTTCAACGAAGCCGAAGCGAAGAAGCGACACATGAAGCATCTTAGCATGACCGGATCTGGCAACCAAAGGGCATACACATACAAGGGCGAGGATTACCAGAACGGCTTCCTGATCAAGGAAGTCAAGGTTAACTGGGTCAGCACTGAAAAGGTCAACCCCAAGATGGAGGAATTGCAGTTCTTCGCAATCCAAAACGCGGATGGTACCGAGACCATGGATCTTTTGGCTGTCCAGGCCGCGCAGAAGGCCGCAGACTCTGGCTCCGCCTTCGCTGCAGGAGACAACGTCGAGATTTACACCGGTGAACAGAAGGGTATCCGCGGTACCACCGTCACAGTAATAGGCGACATCCTGACACTCCGTGTCAGCGAAGGCGATCTTCGCGGCAGAAGAATCGACGCACCCGTCAAGACGCTACGCAAGTTGTTCCGCGACGGTGACCACGTCAAGGTCATCGGTGGCAGCAAGTATGTCGACGAAGTTGGTCTAGTCACTAGAATCAAGGATGATAAGATCACCTTGCTTTGCGACTCCACTCAGCAGGAAATCACGGTCTTTAGTAAAGACCTGAAGCGCGCTGCTGATTCGGCAAACGTCGGTGCTGACTCCAACTTTGATCTCTACGACTTTGTACAGATTGAGTAAGTTATCTCCTTCCGATACCTTGACAACGAACTAACACTCTGCAGTGCCTCAACTATCGGTTGCGTCGTTCGTGTCGATCGCGAAGTCCTACGAATTGTCGATCAACAAGGCGATGTCCGCACACTCCTCCATACACAGGTCTCGCAAATCGTGGGGAGGAACAAGCATGCTGTAGCAACCGACCGCGACGGATCCGAAATCCGCCACGAGGACGACGTCAAGGAGTATGGAGGCGAAGGCCGTCAAGGCAAGGTTCTATACATCCACAGAGGCACACTTTTCGTACGGAACCGCGAGCTCGTCGAGAACCAGGGCATCTTCGTGGTTCGAAGCAACAACGTTGTTACCATGGCAGCAAAGAGTGGTCGCGCTCAAGCACAGGGCCCAGATCTTAGTGGCATCAACCCTGCCCTGAATGCAGGCCCGAACGGCAACGCGACTGCTATGCCACCACCCCGTGCCACTTTTGGCCGTGACAAGCTCATTGGCAAAACGGTTGTCATCCGAAAGGGTGCCTACAAGGGCCTGTTGGGTATTGTCAAAGATACCATGAACGACGAAGCCCGTATCGAGTTGCACACTAAGAACAAGCAAGTCTCGGTGAAGAAGGAGCTCCTGACTATCAAAGATCCCATCACTGGCGCCAGTGTCGAAATGGGAGGCAAGTTCCCCAACCGCTCACGTGGAGGCTTCTCTGGTGGTCAGACAAGTTACGGCGGTGCAGCTGGCGGACGTACACCCGGCTGGGGCAACTCTGGTGGTGGTGGCCGTACGCCTGGCTGGGGTGGCGGCGGCGGTGGTCGCACACCCGGTTGGGGAGGTGGTGCCGCTGCTGGAGGTCGAACGCCTGGTTGGGGTGGAGATGGCGGACGCACTGCGTATGGCGGAGGAGACGGATCACGGACTGCTTATGGAGGCGGCGATGGCTCCCGAACTGCATATGGCGGCGCAACTGCATACGGAGGCGCCACATCATATGGCGGAGCGACAGCATACGGCGGCAATGATGGAAACCGTACCCAGTACGGTGGCTTCAACTCTGGCGGCCGCACACCTGGTTGGGGTGGATCATCTGGAAACACCGCTTCGAAGTCTGGCGGTCTCTCTGCTCCTACGCCTGGTGCTTACAACGCCCCAACACCTGGCGCTTACGCTGCTCCTACTCCTGGTGGCTATGGTGCTTACTCTGCGCCTACGCCTGGTGGCCCACCCATGGATGCTCCTACTCCAGGCAACTACGCTGCGCCTACGCCAGGTGACACGTCGCGTGGTGGATATGGTATTGCGGCACCCACACCTGGCGGTTGGGATGCTGCGACGCCGGCACCTAGTGGCGATCCTGGCTACGATTAGGAACGTAGACGGTAGTCTGCAGTGTAAGATAGGCAGCTGTAGTATGGGTTTGCGCGAGACTGCCCAGCGAGTGGGATCTGCGCATGGCAGAGCACAGTGGGATCTTTTGGATTTGTTCATTGCATTGCTGGAGTTGGTAAAACAGGATAGCTTAAAGTCAGATTACAATTTCTACATCTTCTTCCTTGCATGCGTCGATACCGTCTTCTTGACTTCTCGTGCAATGGAACGCGCGTCCAATAATCTAGACTATAATGTTTACATCTCATTCAAAGGAAGAGACTGAACAAGTGCATCACAGTCTAGATCAGTATTGAAATGAAAGTCAATAAGATCATGACGCAACGCGACCTTTTAGATTGTTAAGTTTAGATAGGTATTCATCTTCCCCCGGTGTCACTCTGTTTCACGCTTGCTGCAGGGTTCATCGCGGCCATCCGTCATTCAATCACTACAAGCTACACTCAACAAAGCAACCTCAACGACATCTCTGATACTGTTTATGCGGATATCGTTCGATCGACCAAAGAAATTACAATTAGCAAATGCGCAGAAATCGTCGAGAGGGAAGAATTTGCAGCACAAAATGTTACATTGCTGTAATAATAAGTCTTATCTAAATCATGATCTAGTAGACTAAGAAAAAGGAAAGCTGGTATCACCCCACCACTCTCTGTGTAAATGCGAAATAATCAAAGACGAAATGAAATCTGAGTTGTCCACAACTCACTACAACACCACTCACTCCGCAACCATGCAACAGAATCTTCTAAGGAGAAAGGAATATTACATTTAGTACTTGCGTACACGCCTCTGGATAGGAGTACCGACGGTAACCTGAGGAACGAATTAGTATATGTTATACAACAAAAGCATTGCAGGAAGGGGAAGAGCATACCTTAGCATCAAGAAGGCCCAGATCAGCATTGATCTCAACGTTGGTGGCACGAGGCGTAGAGTTCTGAGCAGGAGGCATCGAAGTGTTACCAGCAGCAGCACCAATCTCCAAGATGTTCTCTCCACCGAGGGTGTTCTGAATGAAACGGGAGTTGAACTTGACAATCTTCTTGATAGCGTTGAAGTCCTCAACAGAGACAGGAAGAGGGTCCTTGACAATGAGGAAAGTGACGCCCTCGGCGCAAGGAGGGGTGGTAAGCGAACCGCTGTACGTCTGGATATCAGAGGTCTTGAGCGTCTCAACAACGTCGGTGAAGTCGATGCCGGAGGAGATGGTGGTCTTGGTGCCCGGTGTGGCGATGTCGGCGAGCGAGGAGGACAGCGATTGGATCATGGATGCGGAGTCGCCGGAGGAGATCTCGAACATGAGCGCGATGACGGCGAGTTGGCTTTCGTCG